GCTGTTTAAATGTACAAAAAAAACTAGCCACTGCACAAATCACTCCTCACACTCTGATACTATTTTGGAAGCATTGTAACAACCCTAGACACACATCCTGGGAACAAAAAAGAAACTGAAACTGTCAGTAACAAGTCTGCCTCTGAGCAGAAGAAGGGTGTATTCCCTTTAGTGATTCCCCAGTTCAGAATCTTATGGCCAGAGCTGCTTTTTTCATTGGAGGCAAAGGGAAAATGCAAAAATACTGCTGGAATTCTGTTTTTCTCTCTTGACTCCAGCAAGTTAAAAACAGGACTCGAGTCCTGATGATGGACAAGATGATCACAAGAGAAGCAAGGCATGACTAGTGGAGAGCAGAATTCTCTTGCCCCATTCTTCTGCTGTTCAAACCCAGACTGAATTATACTTCTGTCTTTAAAAAGGAAGCAATGTGAAAAATCCATGGAATAATTTAAACACAGGACTCCCATAGGTTATGTCCACTACTGCTAACAACTTAACAATGACACCAGTCATTTTATGAGTCTAGAGGAAGGAAAGGGCAGAGGAGAGCTATTGTATAGTTGGTTTTTGCTTCTAGCGTCATTTTGTATAATTGGAGATTTGGCCTTCATGGGTGGTCTCTATCTCTCCTGTCTTCTACATGGTAGATACAGTATAGTCCTTCTGCAGAAGGACTAAATGTGGCCTAAAGAGATAGATGCACCTGACCTTGACTGCAGTCACATATTTAGATCACTTTTTTCCCTCACACATTAATCTGTACTTGAGTTTATTTATGCTTTCTAAGATTTCTAAGGGACAGAATTACTAGCGTCTGCATGAAGAATCTTTAATCATATGCAGATTTGAGGAATTTCTATTTTCAGTGGTGGATGTTTGCACTTCTGCTTGACTGTTCCCATTATCACTGCAGTTTTTCATTTTTAGAAGCATTTAGTGGGTAATTCATATTCTTTTTCAGCAAAAAAATGAATCAAACTATATTGCTTTTGAAAAACTGCATCTCTCTTCCAGTCTTTTATTATAGCCACTTGTTACTGATGCATCCCTTAATTGTTTGAAATTCCTGCCACAGACATGCCAAACTACTATTCTCTTCCTGTCTCTCCAGAAGTGAAAAAGAGTGATGGACAAAAAGTGCTCATGAGGAAAATGGAATTTTACTACAGTAAATGTTCACTTGTTAACACTGTTGCTCTACTTGTCAGTCCAATTCTAATAGCCATGCTCAGAATGACTGCAATCTGGGATTTGGTACATTTCCGCAGACATCATGGAACAGAGGGAGTGGCTGGTTGATTGTGACCATCGGGAAAACAAACTGTCCACAGTTTTGCCATTCTGCTCCTTGTCAGAATAAGTGGAAGCTGGTTGAGAATAAGACTAATGTAGCAATTTAGAAACCATAAAATCCATCTGACTTCAGCTGAGTTTAATTGAAAACAGTATCTTTGATCCCACCCTGCTGTGGCTTATAGAGGTTGAGGAGAAGGCCTTGGATTACCTGAAATAACTGGACAGAGAGCCAAATGGAACATTGGAGATCTGTGATCAAATGCTTTTCAGTTTTTAAACAAATTAAAACATTGATTTAGGAAAGGACCTAACCCTTTCTCCTTTGTATTCCTAATACAGTGTATTTACCCTTTCATTGCTTATTTCTCCGAACATTGATTTAGGAAAGGACTTAACCCTTTCTCCTTTGTATTCCTAATACTGTACAATGTATTTACCCTTTCATTGCTTATTTCTCCCTGTTAAGGCAAAGAGAATGTATATAAATCCATCAGCTTGAATCTCTATTAATTGATCTTTCTTTCTACTAAGATAATGCACATTGGATTTTCTCCAGTTCAGTTTCATCTTTTTTGTCCTCATTGAACACATTACTAGCATCAAATAATTGTTTCGAACCAGAACAACTTCCTTACATTTAAATGGAAAAGGGAGTGAGATTTGACCGTCATCAGCTTACAGGTGCCATCACATTTTCCAGGTGCTTTTATGTGTAAATTAAATAGCATGGGAACACCATAGAACCCTGAGAAACAAAACAGCCCAACAGCCATGACACCAAACATGAATCTCCCAGAACCACCTTATGATTTTGCTCCTCTAGAAAAAAAGAGACCAGAAATGCCATTTAAAACTGCATCCAAATGGGAACCAGGAAGATACAAAAAATGTATGGTAACCTGGAAATCCAGCAGTTCCCTAGCTGAGATCCTTCACCGAGGTGGCCAAGGCAATTGCTACCCCATAAGCAAGTCAGAAGCCAAACAGAAATGGGTCTAAATAACCTGTTTTATCCACAAACCTCCAGAATTCCTCCTTCTGATAATCCTGCATGTTGGGAGAATGATAGTTATAGTGTTTTTGTTTGTTTGTTTGTTTGTTTGCTAACAGAATGAAAACTACATTTAGAACTATTTTGATAGGAGAAAATGGTCTGGAGGGGAGAATTAATCTGACCTCCCCCAGTCCCCATCTCCCAGTTTCATTCCATTTTACTTTCTAGATGAAATGAGACCAGTTAGATTTTTGCAATGGTTTAATTTCTCCCCTAGCTTGGAAGAGTGCGGCTTCCCAGACATGGATTTTTTAAAAAAAATTGGTGGAGTGGCATAGCAACAATGGGAATGTTGCTAATGAGGAACAGAATGCCTGGCAGTGCTGTAAACAGCAGGTTGCTTCATACTGCCTCATATGTGTGGAAGACAAACTGTTTAACATCTTTTTTTACTGCGTTCACAAGAAAACATTGGACTTCACTTTAGTGGGCAGCTGCAGGCTGCCTGAAAGGCATCTACTAAACCAATTATAGTATTGTTTGCTGCAAGACATGTCAATATAGATAATCAGCTGATATTCATCACTGTGCACCTGCAGAAATAATATTTTAAAATCTGAAAGCAACACTGAAATCAGCTTATACTATGTGAAGCTATTATCCTATTGTCTGTAATTCAGACTAATATAAATGCAAGAATCTGGATGTACAAGGTGGATCAGAGAAGAAATCAGACTAGTTTCTTATGAAAGAGTCATTAGCATATGCATAGTTGTATTCTTCAATACAAACACAAAAGATGTCTACATCAACTTTAATTTACAGCTGATAATGAGGAAATATGGTATATACAAGTTGTTTAGCATATAAAAGCTTAACAAAAAAGGCTTAATCGTTAAAAAGCCCTCAGCCAGCCATCCTGCTTTGTACAAAATGAGTCAAAATGAGAGAGAAGGGCTTGTGGTAGCAGATGAGGACAACCTTTGTGCAACATGTAATGTAAGTCTGGAACAGCATGAATTTTTAAAATGTATTATAATTACTGAAAATATTTCTATCCTAGCTTTTCTTAAAGCTACGGTGGCTATCTGCGAGAAGAATAGGAAATATATCAAGCAATCACATTAAAGGCAAGAAAACAAATGGTAGATTTTAAAAAGCAAAGAGATAAGAGAAGTGCAAGATGAAGAACAATAATAGACTGTATGAAAGAGAGCAATTTTCTCCTGGACATATGATTGCATTGCAGGCAGTTTCTCTACTTTTTGTTTTGTTCTGTTTTAAATTTGTGATAATAGTGAGGATGTCCAAAGCATAAAAACCATTTCCCAATCCTAGTTCTCTCATTCATTTTGTCCATGTAGTAATGTAGTTGTCTCCAGAAGTAGTTACCTAGTGAATTAAGAACCCATCACTTGCATGCCTGAACTGGAGCCAGGACAAATCAGCTGCCATTTGTTCTTGTTGGTAGTTCATGAGCAAAAGAAAAGGGGTCTGTCTATTTTCATTGTAAGCCTGAGACCAGGACTCAGTTGCTTCTTGTTTTAGTAAAATGACTTGTTTTTTAGGTGCTATTATTTCCTTCAAACCCTAAGTGCTCTGTGAAATACTTGGTCATAGGTTTTGTGTGTGTGCTTTTTGCAATGATCTGACAAAACTTTATTCCAGGGTCCAGAATGAACTGGGTATGCTTTAGCCCACAAGAAAGGAACAAGGTACAATATATTTCATTAAAAGGATCTAAGAAAAAATAGATATATTATATCCACCTTATCTACTGACATAGGAAAATAAGTCAGTTTCTAAAATACAGGAACACTGGTTTACATTGGCTTACATTGGCCAGGCTCTTGTTGCTTAGCATAGTGAATCACACTAGAGTGAGCAAACCTATTGAATCAATAGGGATTTGGTGAGTCAGAGCCTCTATAAGTTCAATTCATTCTAATTGGCTGACTGTAACTATGAATTATTGTGCTAAAGTACTGTATTTTTCCATGTATAAGACAGTACTTTTATCTAAAGTATTTAGATTAAAAATTGAGGGATGTCTTATACACGGAAGTAAGGAGGGGGAGGGATCAAAGCGCTTTGATCTCTGCTTTCCCCCTCCACTTTCCTACAAGGAAAGTGCTTTTCCCTCCATTTTCTTTGCAAAAAGTGGAGGGGGGATGCAGGAATCATAGCACTTTGATCCCTGCCTTCCCCCTCCACTTTCTTGCAAAGAAAGAAATTCTGGGTTAGAAAAGTGGGGAGTGTCTTATACATGAGGGTGTCTTATTCACGGAAAAATACAGTAAGTCACAGAGTAAACTTATTTGAATCAAAGGAGTTTATGGAGATTTTGACTCACCAAACCCCCATTGATTTGGTGGCCTTATTCGAGTGTAATTGGTATGCTAAGCAGCAGGATTTTGGCTATTAACTAGTAAGCAGAATATGTTTGACTAAGTGTAATGGTACAGTAAATTGCTTGGGAGCTTATGGTACTGTGTTCCTCCTTCAGCAGTTTTCTATGCATGTAAAATTGATTCATCATTCACTTTTAAGCAGAAATTAGTCTATTTCCTTGAGGGCAGCAATTAAGCCTGTTGGTCTGACTCTTTATCCTTCTCAGTATTTGTACTTCTCAGTATTTGTACTCTTTGCTTATATGTATTGATTGTTTCTTTAAATGTTTATTTCTATTTTGGTGGCTGTCTTGCAGGTGCTCAAATGACACTGTACTCAAAACCCAAGACATATTTTGGGCATACAACTATTGTCCTACACCATACTCTTGGACAGCACTCCTGGGACTTATTTTATATCTGGTTTTCTTTGCACCAGGTAAAAAGTTATGGCATGCTTACTTTTTGTCTAAAACTAATTAGGCTTATAGAGCTGACAAATTCTAGAAAGAAACCTCAGTAACGTCTAGAGTCTGTACATGTCCCTTTTTTCCTTTGAAAAGAATGGCAGTATCGTATTAATTTGAATGCTGTTTCCTGGACTACCTGTCGAAGAGCAGACAGAGTAGTCAGGAGGTTCTTACTTTTACATATATGGTTTAGTGCCATTCACTCACTCATCCCTTTCTTTCAAATAGAAAAGAAAAGGGGTATATGAGAAACTGAGATTCCTTATGTGTTGAGAATTCTGATGGTTCAGCAGATACATCAACACTTACAATAGTTTTTAATTTTCCTCTGCTATTTAGGTTCTGACTTCTTTGGATAATTGCTTTTTAACAATGTTGTTAGAACTTTTCTGCTCTTTCCCTTGCCTAGTTCCTTATATTATTTTTTTACTGTCATTCATAGGAAGGGATTAATGCCACCTTTCTGCATAGTATTATTATTTTCATCTTATTCAATTTATTAAAGTAGCTTCACCCCCCCCAAAAAAAACCCCACAGTACAAATCTATAGTTTTCTGTTCTGCCCTCCTTGTTCCAATACACTACTATTGTTGTTGTTGCTACAAGTATCAGCTCTGTGTGCCAAGAGTCACTACGCGAAGAAGAGTTAGACTCTTCAGTAATTCTGTGTATCCAACAACTTTGTCTCCAAAAACAAATTACACACCGATATAGAGCAGGGGTCTGCAAACTATGGCCTGCAGTCCACATGTGGCCCACTTTGCCTTTTTATCTGGCCTGGTCCTAATTCTAGGACTTTTCCCACCCCCACCTTCCCTAATAGTGCCTGGCCACAGGATTGGTCTCCCACTTGTCCCCTGCCCTACTTCACATGCGCTAACTCTCTCTCAGCCTATCAGCTGCGGGGAAACAACAAAGCTCCCACCCTTCTCCAGGCTTCTCTCTTGTGGCCGTCATACTTGCTGGGAGCACTTCCAGGGGACACGCTCCCTCCTACCTTTCCTCCGCAGCGGCTGCTTGCCTCCCTCTTGCCCCTCAGCCCAGGGGTGCCCAGGGGTGGTTCTGGAGCCTCCGGAGCCCAGTGGGGGGGCAGAGGAAGGGGTTCGGAGATCCAGCCCTGCCGGTAGCAGCACCAGGAGGCTGGCAGTGTGTGCTCTGGGCAGGATTTTCATCGATGACATAAGGGCAGGTGGGTTTGTGACAGCCATATACTGGAGGTTGCTGCAAGAAGCAGGGCAACCCTCCCCCAGTTGTTTCTCCTGGGGCATTCCTGTTTCCCCTGCCCTTGGAAAGCACAGCTCGGTGTTCCCCAAGGCTCCCTTGGCAGCAGTGGACCAGTCTGCTGTCTTCAGGTGAGATGCAGGAACCTCTCCTGTTGCTGATGCTGAAATAAACTTTCCACTGCCAGTCCAATCCACTTCTGCTCATATATGGATAAGGCCTTCATCTTTTTTCCTTGCCTCAGGTGGCCTAATGTCTTGGGCTAACTCTGTGCAAGGAACTGAGTTCCTGTGCAAGCTGCTGGGGTCTTCTTCCTCATAAATGAGGGGACTCAGGAAACATGGACATCAATAGTCCCTTTCTTCTTGGACCTGGTTCTACAAAAGATGGGCCAGTAAATTCTGGGACTCAAATCGACCAAGCCCGTTGTTTGTATCTTTTCCTGTCAAATATTTAAATCAGGATGTGGCTTTCCAAGAATGACAGAAAAACACTTTGCACATGCTTGTAGGCATTCTGTTTTCTCCTTCCTCATGTGACAAAACTTGATGGACGAGCCCCATTTATATGAAAGGTTCAGATTAAAGAAGTGCCATGTAAGGAGACCAAGAGGTTCTGTGAAGGAGGAATATGTACAGGTGAGCTGTCCGTAGTGATAAGAGTCCATAGAAGGAGAAGAGTAAGGAGGAGCAAGGGGCCAAAGATGTGACAGTTGTGAAAGTTGAATCAAAAGAAAAGGCAGGAAAGATAGAGGTTTGTTCAGTGGAAGAGGATAATAAGGGGAAGAGGGAGGAGCAAGCGGTGACAGTGCGGGAGGAGGATATAAGCGAGGAAGGGGTACGCTGGTTCAGTGCAGTCTTGGCGGATTATGAGAGAAAGAGGGCAGAGGCGTGGAAGAGGGAAACCGAGTATGTAAGAACCCAAAGACTTTTGAGAGACTTCCCAAACTTGAAGGTGGGAGGACTGTTGCCGGAACCCAATCTGAGGGAAGAGAAGCTGACCCATTTCTTAACAAAAGAATGGACTGTGATTGTGGCGCCACACAAAGCTGAACTGCAGAGAGAAGCCGAGATAGCCCACAATCGTTTCTATGACAGACTGGATGAGCGAGGTTGGATTAGGCACGCATGTTGTGGGACAATATGTGCCCTGAGAAGTACTCCTCCCTGAAGACCAGACTACAGGGAATGGCGTGGGAGAACCCCCCGCTGAGTCCGTGGGAGTATGGGAAGAGTTTTAGTTCTGTCAGTTGTGGCCTGTTGCCTGAGTTAAGAATCTTTGATCCCATGAATAATCTGCTGGAGGGGACGAGTGACAATAAAAATGACAGTTTGAAAGTTATTAAGACGTCACCTCTATTATTTCCCGCTGAAGGTGAGGGGTTGCCCAGAGAAATCAAAGAACCCAATCACAGGTTCACAATCTCATTAATACTGTAGTATACAAGTACAAGTTTTTTTGAACCAAATAAAATTTATTTATTCATTATAAAACTTCCTCCCTCTTGGTCCTCAAAAATGTGTAAAATATATGATGTGGCCCTGATACTGAAAAGTTTGGAGACCCCTGGTATAGAGAATAATGGTTAAAATTCCTACCACATGCACATCTGTGCATAGCCAGTAAGTGCACATTTGCGCCTTGATTAGATATATAATGTGATTTTAAGGTATCCTTCTGTTTTTCTCAGTCCAGAGGAGACTAGTGAGTCCCAAATAATTTTTCCCACTCTGCTCTTAAGATTTTGATCCATTGATAGGACTGTTAAGCTTTATATGTTGGATTATTACTGAATAATAATATTGTCCATTGTATCTCCCTGTTCCAAGAAAGTTTATCTCTTTTTTCTACTTAATTTTTAAAGCTTCCTTAATGTTTCTCAATATGTTATTGAAATAAATTGTTTGTGTTTTCTAAAGGAATGGGACCAATGCCTTGGACAGTAAATTCTGAAATATATCCACTTTGGGCAAGAAGTACAGGAAATGCATGTTCTTCTGGTGTAAACTGGATTTTCAATGTTCTTGTGTCATTAACATTTCTCCATACAGCTGAATATCTGACATATTATGGTAAGAAATATTTTAATGTCTTAAATATTACCAAGACCAGCAGCTTTTCATATAACTGGAATGTAACTTTTCCTCTACAAAGATCTTTTTGGATAGTTTCATGTCTTGTCTTAAAATGCTATGCAATTAAAAATTAACCCAAAATGAATGGATCAAATTCTACTGGAAAGAGTTTAATTTTCAGTTTACAGTGTTCTGCTCCTAAATGGGAATTCTAGAACTAGTTGTTATGAGTAGCATTTGCTTAATTGAGAAGAAAGTAGACCTCAAAAAGTTTTATATCATTTAAATTGAAAATTGTTTGGCTGTAAGAGCATTGCATATTGTTGTCAGATAAGCATTTTGCGATAAGCATCATGCCATCACATCATTTGAACAAAAGGCAGAGCAAGACTTGGCAATCTTCAGTGTCTCTGAGGAAGCATAGTAGCATCCTGAAACATAAGAAAGGGCCATAGAGGGCTTTCTGACAGTGATATTCTTCAAAATAATCACAAAGTTATATAGAAGGTATTGGAGAAGCAGGGTAGGGTTCTTTATTACCTCTTCCCTTTGCTTCCTTATTACTGTCACAGTGAGGGCCAAGCTATGCCCTTTAGGCTTTAACTTGCATTATGCAATAAGGTTTGTTTGTTTGTTTGTTTAATTGTTGGTCATTGTTCTTAAAAATTACCTGGAAGACTGAGAGGTCTCCTTGTGGTATGCCAGATGAAGAGAAGGCATATTTAATACTTTACATCTGTTTCTTCCTGTTTGTAACTTTTACATCACCACCACCTCCCAAAGCTATGGTGGCCTTATTAGCTTGCTGTCTAGTCTGCTACTGCTGTTGTTAAGTACCAGTTTAGCAAATAATAATAGCTCCTTCATTTGAAATAAGGAGACTTTCTTGACTTTTATAAAAAATCTGGTTTGGTGAATGGGAGAGTCAGTTTGTGTTAAATATGCCCTGCTGGCTACTTGACTCTACACCCAAATCTATGAGAGGGATAGCCAGGATAATTGTTTTGGTTATTAAGAATCCCATTTCTCTTTCCATCCATTTGATTGCTAATTAGACATGGGCTATTTATATTTGTATCCCTGGGGATAGGAATACGAATAACAGTATCGCAGGTGCCACACAGGGCCCACTCCCTTCCCTAAGAAACACAGGGCCCACTCCCTCCAGTCATACCACACACCACTGGGGTCCTTTTGTAAGGGAAGGGGCCTAGCTGGTACTTTCCCTCTTCTCTGCATAGCCAACCACTCCAGCATTCTTGCAGGCTCTGCTGTGCCCAGTCATCTCTTGGAATACTGTACTGGGAACAATGAAGCAAACTCAAGAATGTCAGTGGAGTAAAAGTTGCTCTGAATCTGGTGGAGCACAAGTACACAGTTCATGTTTGAATCTACAGTGGTGCCCCGCATAGCGATGATAATCCGTGCAGCAAAAATAGTCGCTATATGGATTCGTCCCTATGCGAAAAGAAAAAGCCCATAGGAATGCATTAAAACCCGTTTAATGCATTCCTATGGGCAAAAAACTCACCTTTAAGCGAAAATCCTCCATACGGCCGCCATTTTCGCTGCCCGGTAAGTGAGGAATTGGTGCGAAAACACAGCAGGTGGCCATTTTTTAAGCCAGCGGCCATTTTGGAACCGCTGATCAGCTGTTCTAAAAACATCGCTATGCGAAAATCGGTAAGTGAAACAGCTTACCGATCATCGCAAAGCGATACTTTCCTATCTAAATCATCGCAATGCGATCGCTTTTGCAATCGCACAAACTTAATCGCTATGCGGATTCGTTGTTAAACGGGGCGCCCATTAAGCGAGGCACCACTGTACTCTGTTATGATAATGGAAACAAAATAAGCATTTTTCTTCCCTACCATGATATGCTCTAACTATCATCTAGGTTATGCGGCATGTTGTGCACGGTTGGGGGGGGGGTCAACTCGTAGATTTTGTAGGATCATTAGCACACTGTGACACTTCTGCTAGACATCTTGCTAGACAAATTCAGGGCAAAATTATTCAAGTGTCACAACTAGGATATCACAGTTGGTACAATCCAGTTTGTGGAAGTTTCCAGAGCGCCATCTGCTTGGAAATTCCTGGATAACTTTTAGTTTTTAAGGCCCAGAGATATGGACAAGGTGTTTGTTCCAAATGTGACTAACCCATTTTTGTCTGGGATTCATATTTGGTCTGCCTAGCAGAAGAAGCCACTTGCAGGTATCACCTACTCTTGCATTTCTGTTATTTTACAGGTTACCTAGCTTTTTTCCCTATTTTTTAAATAATCAAAATTACTTTGAAGATTCATTTCAATCAGTGTTTAATTCTGGTGCCCTCTTAGTGATCTATGCTGGGAAGAAGACAGAAGCCATGTACTGTAGTGTTGTTGATTCCTCCGCATTTCTCAGTGCTTGTGAGTTCTTTCAACCTTGTTATGCCTCTGGAGAGCTTGTCTAAAGTTAACAATGGACAGTTCAGCTTTTCGGGGCTTCCAAACATACTTGGATGACTCTCTCCAGAAGGTGATGCCGGGAAATGTTCCACTTTGGTGTACTGTGTGGCTCTGTCTTAGCAACAATGCTATTTAACGTTAATGAAAACATTTTTCTTCTAGTCTCATTGACAATTAAGCCTGTTCCCTAGAATGCACAATGACTAGGTGACTCCAGTCTACTCTGTAAACATGATACTAACATTAATTCACGTTCCTTTGCAATCTTGAGTCTCTAAAATGAGATTATTTTACTAGTCTCTGGGCAAATCCTAATTAAATGCTGGAGATTCTTCAGTGTGTATTAAAATATAATATAATAATCTTAAAATTGCAAAGCTAGAAGGGCCCCTATGGTTCATCAAGACCAGCCCCTGTCAGGGAACTACAGTGGGGAATTGAACTTCCAACCTTTGGCTCTGCAGCCAGTTACCTAAACCCCTGAACTATCCAACAGTTCTGTCACTTATTTCACTATGACTTTGTATTTTGTTCTAGAAGAACTATGGAGAAACTCTTGTTAATGTTCTCTGTGTGGATTTTTTTTCCAGGAGCATTCTTCCTGTATGCAGGATTTGCTTTTGTGGGACTCATTTTCCTCTACGGCTGCCTTCCTGAGACGAAAGGGAAAAAACTAGAGGAAATTGAATGCTTGTTTGACAATTCACTGTGTACATGTGGCATTACAGATTCTGATGATGGGAGGTACATTGAATATATCCGGGTGAAGGGAAGTAATTATCATCTTTCTGACAATGATGCTTCTGATGTGGAATGATTTTCAGCTGCTGATCTGTTAACTCATTTAAAAGCCTTGTGGGGAGGATGAAGGAGCTGGTTTTGGTGACCTCATTGCCCTGCTTCTGCTCTGGTTCTCCTTTTCACTGTCTCTACAGAAACACTTTTCTGTCCTAAACCATGTCATTTGAAAAGAATAAAATTAAATATAACTTTGTTCTTTTGATTAGGCCAAAGTGGTGGCTTGGTAAGAGATGAAATGACTGAGAGGATAGAAGTGTTCCATCTATGTGCAATGCAGTGTCTCGAAGGTCCTCAAAACTGTGATACCAAACTTAGTTAATCAAATGCCATGTGTAGTTGTCCATTTCATAAAATGTGAAAAAGCACAGCTAGTCAGAAACCAGAGGAATCATAAAAGTACGGTTGCCTGGCAACCAAGATCTGGTACAAAGGCTCTCAGCCTCTTACAAAATAAGCAAGAGATAAGAGTGGAATCTGCTGCCCATAGAAACCATGATTTATTTGCAGAATATTACTTTGTATTACTTCGAAGACAGGAGGGCCTGGCATGCTCTGATCCATGGGTCACGAAGAGTCGGACACGACTTAACGACTAAAGCAACAAGAACTTTGTTTAATTGCAGATTAATCTTGCACATATGAAGAAAGCAGGCTTTTACAGATTTGCCTGTGGTTTGCTGTCTTTGGGCATCCCTTTTAAAAATAACATTCCCCACCTCCTTTCTTCCTATGCTATGAAATTTGTATAATGTGATGATTCTGTACATGTAGTTTGACTCTGAATTTCCCAGGCCAACACTTAGTATGAAGTGTTCTGTGATAGTTAAGTCTAAGCTGCAAACTGGGATGTCCTTGATTCAGATCCCCCCCAAGCCCCCTATATTAGGGACATAATAGTGTGACTCTTAATTTGCACGCTGTAAAGATTACACTAAGCCATGGCAATGGCTGTTTCCACACTAACCCCTTTTTCTCACCTTGTCATCTTTTGTTCATCAACTTCTGTGGGAAATCCAGGTGATGTAGCTTTCAGGTTAATGTTCAGTGTTGTCATCCCATAATTGTTCAGTCTTGATTTGTAGGCCCCTCCCTGCAACCCTTGAATGCAAGTGCAATACTCCCAAGGCTTCATGGAGTTCCCTTTTCTTTAGGATTTCCAGTTTTCAGGTCTCTCCTGTTTTATTGCTTCTTATAGATATTTCCTAGGTGATTAATAGCTGTTTGTTCAATGTCATTTTCTGTTCCTATGTGACTGGTCAGGGAGAAGGTGTTCATTACTGGTTTTCTTGTAGTATTTTCTTTCTTTTCCAATGTATGTACAGTAGTAAAATAGTGCTGTTTCACTAGTTTAAAGAATGAAAATATCAGGGAATTTCTTCTTCAAGCTATTTCTCACCATTCCCCATAAATATAATTAGATCATTATAATATTCATCAGTAATTAAAAAAATTAATGAGAAACAAAAGCAGAACCTAAATAAGAGGTTTTTCATTACTTTAGGGAAGTTGATGCTGTTGTTGAATGAGATGAGTCTGCTTTACAGAATGATCTTGGCCATGGGGAAGGGCATTGCTTGATAAGATAGTGCAATGCTCCCCCTTTATTGAAGAAAAGTAAAATTCAAGTGCTTTCGTTTTGGAACAATCAACAGGCATGAAGCACTTCAAACACTAAAGGCATTATTATTGTTATTGCTGGTAATACAATCATGTATATAAGTGTGACTGTGACAAATGTGATTTTCCATAAATCCAAATTAAAAGTATACACCTACAGTAGGTTAGGTATTTATAGGTGTTTTTTCTTCGGTTTTGGCAGTAATCTTTTAATTTTTTTTAAATCATGCCAGCAACCTTTTTAAGGGGCTGAATTTGTAACTTTTCCCACTCCCAGTTTTGCTTCACTTGAAACACCTTTCACTAAAGAGCATCTGAGATCAAAAAGAGTATGAAAACAATATTATAGACTCTCCTGTACAGTTGATGGTCACCTCTGAATGACGAAGAACTCTGTCAGGTGGACAAAGAAAACTGTGTATGCCCTTTTGATAAATAACACTTTATTTATAATTTTACTTCCTTCAACAAAGGTAGTTTTAAAAGGCACGTTTCTTACTAGAATCATCTTCATTAACTCCATGGAGTTAATAGAGATATTGGAAAGTTTAATGCAAACTTAGGGTGGAAAATTTGGCTGTCCTTCTCTTGGCTCACAAGACAAGAGATTTACATACTCATTCAAATACGGGAATAATTTTGTATTATTTAGTAAATACCATTATATTCAGTAGATAGCAGTCCTGGTAATTAGTAATTTGTTAATTTGTTCTATGTTACTTATGATAGATAGTCTTTAAACACTACAGAATTTAACAATAAGCTAAAATTGCTGAGAATCCTGTCAGGTATGCATGCTCATTAATCACCCCCACTTTGCTTCTAATGCCAGAAAAGCAACTGCACTAACAAGAGAAATAAAAGCTTGCCGTTCATCTAAACCCGGACCTTGCTTTGTTGCTCCCCTAACAAACCAGGAGTGACTAACCAACTTCAGTAATTCTGGCTCACATTTTGGATTGTTGGCAAAATCACTAATGAGCGTTTGTACTTTAGATTCTTTGTGAATTTCTGTTTGGTCTAGCCTCTCCCATAGCTCTATGCTGCTTGTGCATATATTTTATTTTCCACATTGTATTATTTTGACAAGCCTTTTCATACCTAAAATTGGAAACAAGGTATATTCAAGAGCTGACCACAAGTTCTTAGCCTCAATAGAAGGCAGTTCCGCATGGGATTAGCCCAAGAACTGTGCAGTTATTTCTTTTTGGTTGTGGCATGTGTGAAAATCAAGGCTCTGATGTCAACCTAACTGTCTTCTTCCATAAAATATTTACACTTTCCCAATAGGTGCCATTCTACTTTCAGTTTTATGATTTCACCAAATTAACAGTGTTGCATTACATGGCTTCTGAAGTATTTCCTTTTAAAACAAAAAGCAATAGAAGCAAGAAAAGTAAACCTAGCTGCTTTTATGATAAAAACTGGTTTCTGCCTTGCCCTGAGCATTACTTTGGTCTAAATACATCACAGATTCATTTCCCAACAAGAATGTTGTCATTTTTTCTGACCAGTCAGATGATAACTATGTGCCAAAATGCTGCCTCCAAGAGGGGTAAGCCCTTAAATATGCCTTCACTGGTTCTTCTGCCTAGAGCCTTAATCTAGGAAAAAGCCTCTGGCATGTATGTTAAACACATGAGAGGAGTTCCGATTGATCTCAGCACAGTTGCATGGTTTGGACTTAAACCCAAGGTGAACATGGAGGCTTAATTGGTGATGCTCTACTCTTCTGCTGCTGCTCTAGTTTTCTCTTATGGGGCAACACTAATTACTTCTGGCTTGCTCGATCTAATCAAGGAATTATTGCTCTGATAGACCGATACTTTGGGCTTTCAAACAATGTTCCAATTTATCTCAACCTTCTTATTTTTCAGACTATGCTGAGGCCTTTATCAGTGGAAATATATTAGCCACCGTTCTAGTTTTTTTGACATTCAGCCATGCACCATGCTCAGCTGTTTTTCTGATGCTGTTTTTTCTGTTTTATTATCTTTATCTTGTGAGTTTTTTTTAAAGTAAGGCCTGACAGTTAGAAGCTAATAACAGTATTTCAGCTCACTTACAAGAGCACAAACTCCACTGCAACCTTTTTCCATACCATTATTTTACCTCTGGACATGCTGGTTCAAGTCTTCCTTCTGATGTTGCTTATGTGTTAATCCTGCCTTAGTCACAGTACCAAGAATTATTTATACTAAAGCTGAAAAAAATGAATACTTGAAATAGGTCCTCCAAAACTGGGATTTTTATTTTTAGACGCTGTTATAATATAGGAATACAGGTGAAATATATGAGAAATACTTCTATTTTGCAACAGATTTTTCTTCTTATTTTGCATATTTAAATTAAGAAGGCTATATTAGAGATCTAGACTTAAGAGATCACGACACTCCTACCCGCGAGCGCAGGGGTGCCACCGCCCTCCTGGGAGCCTGCACACACACCCCAACCAGTCCATGGTACCAAAACAGTTGGGGACCACTGCTCTACTGTGTTGAAGATTCTGTTACATTCTTACTGCTCTCTGGTGTTTGTTTCTCCTAATCAATTTGCACATAGACTTCAGTGGGACAAGTTCTCTTTGGACTTTACTGTAAATTCAATACTATGTGTTACAGTACTAGAACTCCCTTCCCTATAGTCTTTGGCTCTACCCAAGAGCAGTGGCCAGAGTTTTCTAGAGCAAGAATTGAGATAAATCAGAGACAGCTCCCCTCCTCTTGTCAAGCAGTCCCCTGCTGCATGATGGCCCTGATAGAAACATAAAAACATGCAGCCTTGGTTGTGTCCTTCAATTCCACAAAATGTGTTATTGTACTGTATTATTATAGCAAAAGCAGTGTTAAAACTAGCATCAAGATAGCAAGTACCTTATGTGGAATTTCATGTGAAATAAAATCAAATTAAGAATTCGAAGTCATTCTGTCTTAAGTGTGCAACCAGACTATTTTGGGTTGATGCCTACCATTGATATACCCAAGGGCTTGAACTGTTAGTCCCAACTAAACTGGAAGGAGTGGCATTTGTTAGCTCATGAGTTAGCTCATAGTCCCGTGAGTTTAGTAGGTCCGCTATAGTTGGGACTGACAAGTGTGCTAGCCCAAGGAGTTGAGATTGTGAGCTTACAAAGGTAATAAACACTATGAAGAATTTGAAATGAATTCATTAAACAAACCAAATAACAGACATTATCTCTTCAAATATAGAAGGCTGGCTAAGAAATGAATGGGCTTAACTGCTTGATGTATTAAAAGGAAGATGGGTCGCTGTGATTTCAAAGGATGAAGCTTTTTTGTTGATTCTACACCTGGGCAGGAGGGCCAAGCACTGTTCATGAGTGGGTAGGATTGTGCAACCAAATGACTTCAATCGCCTTAAAGAGCCATTATAGCTCAAACTAGAGCTGGCACTAAATTTCAAAATTGAAAGAATTCAGAAGTGCACTCCCCCCAATTTAAAAGAAAGGTACAGAAATTACCAAACTTACCACATTTTTGTAATCCCCTTCTTTTGACTCCCATTTTCTCTGCTATCAGGTAACCCCTCCTTTTTAGAAATTTAGCTTCTGCAGTGGGGGCAG